CGAAAAACCACGTACGAGATGCATCAGGTGTTTGTGTGGCTTTGCAAGCAAAGTGGTCCCATTTTCGTGATATCACCAATGAACAATATGTTAGATCTCGGTGTTAGCAGCCTACGACGGAATGTGGTGAAGTGCGCACAATAGGAAAAACATGCCAGGGCGACCCTGTCAGTCCATAGTCATGAGCAGGTGTGCACACCCTCAAGACAAAGACCCTACCAATGCAGACTGTTAGGCGTGCATGTCTTAACAGAGATTAAACAGATAACGATTAAAATAGACCGCTCTTCACTGCCATTTGTCTGCTTAAATCAAAAGTGGCAATGAACAAATCCGAATTAAAGCATCCTAAGAGGACGGTGCAAATGGGGCGCCATGTCCACTTTGTGAACCCCTATGACAGTTCTAACTGAATGAGTCTGGAATTGGAGAGCCATTAATAGTTCTGTTTTTCCGAAAATCTACCCTCAGGCAGTAGCGATTGAAGGGAATTATTCTTTAAATGTATGTCCCTGCCTTGGATGTGCGTAACCACACCACTTTAAGCAAACTAGACACCAGTTTTAGTTTCGCACACTTAAATTGATGCTCGTACTCTGCTTACAGCAAGAAAACATTAAGCTGGGGATTTCAATGCAGGTTGAGAATAGGAGCAGACCTCGTTTACCCTCATTTTCCCTACAACCACCCAATGCTTCCAAATGGCACTTGACTTGACACAAAACAGCCAGACGTTAAAATATGATTTCGCAACATCATTCAGAGACTCTCTTCTCTAGAGCTGCCTCAAATGTAGCTTCGTACGCTGCACAGAATGCGAGTCACTTACAAAGCCACAGATGCTTTCATCGAGCTTGACAAAACAAAAGTAGCAGTGTCATAGAAGGTGCTGCTCGGTCTCACCTCAAACACAATATGCAAGCAAGTGTCAATTTCATTTTTAAGGCAAACCGATTGTTGCCGCACAGGCTGCATGGAAATGAGAAGAGTGAATGATTTGGCTATGACGTGTGTAATACTAATGATGTTTAAACGTAACCTCTAGGGAGGAAGTGGGCAGTCAACTCGAACATCGTGATAGGGGAGTGGTCACGATCCCCGAAACAGAGAAGAGCTCGGTCATCCAATACCCCTACACCTCTACCCATCCTCATTTACTCTAACCCATGATCAGGTTCCAATCAAAGTAGCCCTTTCGTTTAATAGGCATGAAGGTCAGGGAGGAGCAGATTGATACCGAAGGACCTCCTCCCTTTCAAAGAGGACATTAACTTTAAAGAGCAGCTGAAAACGGCAAAATTAAACCTCCATCTCTCTCCTCAGTGCCAAAGTTCACCATTAAATCCTCCGTGTCCTCCCTCAAGACCTGCTTTCGGTGCAATCGACACCGGCTTCACCCACGACATTGACATCAATCAATGTTGCCATGCCTTAACTCAACTTGTCATTGATCAGAAAGAGCCGACCTAAGTCAAAGACTTCTTCCCATACTACCAAAATGTCGAGGGGAATGACGAGGGGCACTCTAGAAATCCTCAACATCTAGCCAAACGTGCCTTTCGGAGCCCACCTTCAAACAAGGTCGCTAATTGGATAAACGTTCGGTTCAGAAACAGAGTCCGATCTCCCGTTATGCTTGAGAAACTTTCCAGCATAAAGACCAACTGGCTCAGCCGACGGGTCAAGTTCGCAACCCAAAGGCGCCAGCAACCTCATGCAGTTGCGCTGCATCAGAAGCTCAACAGATGGTCAAAGCCAGCACCCTCCTATCGTGCTCCTTTGCGACATGCACCAAGACCAAGTCAACCTTCCTTCTCCTTATCCTATCTATTTCTCATGGGCTTTCATTCAGTAATTCTAGTCCCAGGTGAAATACAATGACGCCCATCCCCTTTCCTTCTCCACTCGGGTGCAGCTAAATTAATAGTAAACCTTCTCAAAAAAAATTAGTTTTAACAGAAGAAAATTGGATGCTTGTAAAAGGGGCAACGTCGTCAGAAGTCTGCATAGGCAAAGACATCTGGACAGTGAAATTTGTTATGTCTATAACTGGCTCGAGAGGTGATGCGTGGTGCTGATTTTGTACGCTGCGACAACCCTGTCCTATTGTTTGTGGAAGACACCTTCTCCACTCAGCAAGGCACAACGCCATGGCGGATATTTTGCTGCAGAGAGTAGACGCCGACCACATCTACACCGCTCTTTTAAAGCCACAGACATCCCAAGGAACGACTTGAATGACCTTTATGCTCATCGTATCCACATTACTGATGACACGAGGAAAGAACTTCACGAGTTGCTGTTGAAGTATGCCAACAAACTCTCATGGCAAGGCACTAAACTGGGACGACCACACACCGTCAAGCATACGATAGACAGCTGCGAGGCTTGATTCTTTTTGACATCCACCCAGGCGTATTTCCCATCCTCTGATAAAAGAAGTAAACTGTCCGGATAAAGAGATGATTCAAGTCGAGTTTATAAAACCATCAAAGTTACTGTGGACCTCTCCGGTCGATCTGGAAAAGCAAAACGACGGTAGCCTGCGATTGTACATCGACTATAGGAAGCTGGACGCCGTAACAAAGGAGGACTCCTTCCATTACCCCACATAGTAGATTCACTGGACTCCCTACATTGGTCACACTGGTTTTACTGTAAAAGTTAATTGTAGAAATCTTAAGGGCAGAGAGAAATGGACTTTTATATTGCTAAACGAGCTTTATGAATTCCTGCGAATGCATTTGGGACTCTCTAACGCTGAGGCCATCTTCCAACCCCTGAAACGAATATCATTAAATGACTTATTCCCTAAACATTGCCTAATCTACCTCACTAATATACTCGTTTATGGTGGCGAAACTTGAGAGCACTACGCCAAGCAGGAAATTGTGTTAAACCGTCTATACACGCAAAATTGTCCATGAGAAGAAAGGATTGCCACTTTATGCATCACTCCGTTAACTTCTGGGCACATACACTCTCGTCAGACAGCATGGCAGTCACTTAAGTCCGTACACAAGTGAGGACAAGACCAACATTAACCAATTTGACGGAGCTCTGTTGTTTCCCTAAATTTGGCGAATTACTACAGGCGATTTGTCAGAGGCAACCGTCCCGCTGCACTAGGTAGTCTAACAGCAGGCGATGAGGAATTTTAAGTGGGAGAAATCGCACGATGAAGAGTTCAAAGGACTGAAACAAATGATCCACCTTACACTGACTCTAGCACTGCCCAACTTCGCACCCAGCAGTCCACATTTCGGACTGAACAACAAAACCAGTGATGCGACCACCAATGCCGAACTATCATGAAGGTAGAAAGAAGGAGGGAAACGAGTCATCACCTACGCGAGCACCAGAATCGGCAAAAATGCGGCAGAAAGGTGCATCACAACGCTAGCTGTTAGCTATCTACTCAATGGTTAAACTACTCAGACACTATCCGATAGTAAGGGTGGACCATCAGGCACTCACCGTTAAAATAATGAAGGGGAATGACCATTTATTTGCACACAGGTACGAAGAACTGCAGTCATATGATTTAACACTTCAATACAGAAAAGGGAATACGCATAGTAATGTGGTCACTCTGCTCCGCAGACAGATAATGTTGCAGTACGTACAATATTCTCAAGTAAAACTACAAAACATCACCAGAGAAACACGCAGAGTACCAACCACAATTAGGCTCTGATACGAATCCTATGCCCACAGGTCATTTAGTACAACTATGCAGTTCGATAGCTTCACCTGAAACATTCTGCGAGTTCCATCATCCGTGGAGCGAGGATGCAGTTAAAGTGGTAAAATTCCTCTCGCCTACAAACTACCTCCTCCGTACTCAGCCAATCACCGTCCACCAAAACAAGACGCATCCAGATAGTGGTCATCACTGGTTGGAGAGGAAGACAATGTTTACGCAGGAGTGGAAGATAGAAAAGCACATCTGATAGCACACGAAGAGACCAGCCTTAAGGGGTCACCTGTGACGATGATCGAAATGACGAGAAGACTCTGCCATTCATGTCTGTTAGAAGGTGCCTTCAAGATGAGAAGCATTCAGAGAAAGACCAACCAAGAAGAGGAGGAGTTGTGGAAATTTGCTGAAGTGGGCTAGAGTTTAAGTGCACGCAGCCCTGACGCGGATTGCCCGCTTACAATACTTATGATCTTGTCTAATCAGTTGCATAATCTGAAGGCCGAGGATGAAGAGATAAGTGATGAAACTGCCACACATCACAAACTCAGAGAAGTTAAATACACATTACTTGAAGTCAGTAGAAAATGCACAAACCTGGAGTAACTAGGTATCCTCATGTGTATACTCTGAGACTCCCCCTTAATAACTAGACAGAGCATTTAAATAATAAGCGGTTGTCTACACACCTATCAAAGGGTAAAGTATCATGAACAATATGCGATAGCAAATGTTCAATTTGTACAAATCTCGACTTGCTAGGCGTATGCAAGAAGAAGGATAGCCAGAAGGTAAACGAAGGCAGCTCGTTGTTCGAAGCTAAAGCATGGACAAACACAGATCATCCTGCTTAAGTTTTGAAACACAATTAACATGTAAAGTGAAGTCCGTGGGTAAAAACAAACTAGTCACGAACCTACGAAGCTCATGAAGGTGAGGTGTCTCTGTCACATCAGCCCAAACAGTTCTGTGTGAATTTCTGTAAAGCAAGGGACATGAAGTGTCAATAAAAGCAGTCATCATGAAGTAAGGCCCGCAAATGAGGGGATACGCAGAGGGATGGCACGAGAGGAAGTGCTCTCTCAGCAACTCCCACGTCTCGTAGAACGCACAACACTCCCCACAGTAACGACGTGTTTCACCACGCTCTGTAAGTTGAGCTACAGCACACCGCAATGAAGGATTAGTTGAAGA